TTTTACTTTTAGTATCAAATCATAAAATCATTTCCAAGACCAATACTGAGGAGCTTTCCCCCTCTTTTCTTCCAGGAGTTTCACAGTTTCAGGTCTTACATTTAAGTCTTTACTCCATTTAAATACATTTTTTAAAACATATCTTTATTGACTTCAGAGAGAGGAAAGGAGAGGGAGAGAGAGAGAGAAACATCAATGATGAGAGAGTCACTGATCGGCTGCCTCCTGCACGCCCCCAACTGGGGATCCAGCCCACAACCCAGGCATGTGCCCTGACCAGGAATCGAACCGTGATGTCCTGGATCCTAGGTCGATGCTCAACCGCTGAGCCACGCCCGGCCGGGCTTTACTCCATTTAAACATTGATATATTTGTATGGTGCAACATAAGAGTATAGTTTTATTCCTTTGCCTGTGGATATCCAGTTTTCCCAACATCATTTATTTATCATTTTTATTTTTTTAAATATTTTTTTATTGATTTCAGAGAGAGGAAGGGAGAGGGAGAGAAAAATAGAAACAGCAGTGATCAGAGAGTCATTGATCGACTGCCTCCTGCAGGCCCCCTACTGAGGATCAAGCCCCAGCAACCCGGGCATGGGCCCTGACTGGGAATTGAACTGTGACCTCCTGGTTCCCAGCACCATTTACTGAAGAAACTATTCTTTACCATTTTGTATTCTTGTTACCTTTGTCAAAAATAGTTAACTATAAAAGTATAGGTTGATTTCTGGGCTCTCTGTTCTGTTCCATTGAGCTATGTGTCTGTTTTTATACTAGTACCATACTGTTTTGATTACTATTGCTTAGTAATATAGCTTGAAGTCAGGAAGTGGGATGTCTCCAGCTTTGTTCTTCTTGCTCAAGATTGCTTTATCAGCCTGGCCGGGCGTGGCTCAGCGGTTGAGCATCAACCTGGGATCCAGGTGTTCTCGGTTCGATTCCTGGTCAGGGCATATGCCCGGGTTATGGGCTCAATCAATGACTCTTTCATCATTGATGTTTCTATCTCTCTCTCTCCCTCTCCTTTCCTCTCTCTGAAATCAATAAAAATATATTTTTTTAAAAAAGATTGCTTTATCTATTTGGGAACTTTTATAGCTTTAGGGTGTTTTTTTCTAATTCTGTGGAAAATACCATTGCAATTTTGATAGGGATTGGGATTGCACTGAATCTATAGATTGTTTTGAGTAGCTTGGATATTTTAACAGTATTATTATTTGTCCAATCCATGAACACAATATATCTTTCCATTTATTGGTACTTTCTTCAATTTCTTTCATCAATATTTTATAGTTTCAGGGTATGGATCTTCTACCTCCCTTGTTAAAATTTTTTCTAAGTATTTTATTATTTTATTTTATTTGTTTTATTTTATTATTTTGTTTTATTTTACTTCATCCTCACCTGAGGATATTTTTTCCATTGCTTTCAGAGAGAGTGGAAGGGGAAGAGAGAGAGAGAGAAACATCGATGTGAGAGAGACACATCGATTGGTTGCCTCCTGCATGTGCTCCCCACTAGGGTGGGGATTGAGCCTGTAGCTGAGGAACATGCTCTTGGTTGGAATCGACCCTAGGACCCTTCAGTCTGCACGCTGATGCTCTAACCACTGAGAAAACCAGCTAGGGCTATTCTTTTTGATGCTATTGTAAATAGGATTGTTTTCTTAATTTCTTTTTCAGATATTTGCATATTGATTTTATATTCTGCAGCTTTACTTAATTCATTTACTTGTTTTAACGGGTTTTTTTTTGCGTGTGCAGTCTTTAGGGTTTTCTACACATAAGATCATGTCATTTGCAAACAGAAAACTTTTACTTTTTTCTTTCCAATTTGGATGCCTTTTTTCTTTTTCTTGCCTAATTGCTCTTGTTAGGACTCCCCATACTATGTTGATTAGAAGTTATGAGAGTGGTCACCCTTGTCTTGTTACTGATTTTAGAGGAAAAGCTTTCAACTTTTCATCATGAAGTATGATGCTAGTTGTGGGCTTATAGTGTTTAGGTACATTCTTCTATTCCTAATTTGTTGAGGCACATTTATAATTTGTTGAGAGTTTTTACATGAAAGGATGTTGAATTTTGTCAAATGCCTTTTCTGTATCTATTGAGATGACCATGTGATTTTTACCCTTCATTCTGTTAATATAGTGTACCACATTTGTTGATTTGCATATGTTGCCCATTCTTTCATCCTTGCATAAAGTTTTATTTTTTAAAAATAATTCAGTGGCCATTTCCACCAATACATTAACTTTAAAGGGCTTCTATTACTTGAAAGGCAAATTTTGATTTGTGGGAAAAATGTATTTATTTATGAGAGATCAATAAATCCATAGCTTTTTGAGATCCCATTGGGATGTTTTATAAAGTACTTGATAATGCCTCTTTTGAAAGCATTTGTAGTCTTTTTCTTAAAATCTGTTAAAATTTATAAAATATTTCATACACACTTTAAAAATTCAACTTTAGCCCTTTACAATAAGACATAATTACTAACAAACAAAATAGTCATTAACTTGTCCTCTTTGGTTGTTGAGGCATATTTTAGTGAGTATTTAATTCAGTTTTCATTTACTTTTATCAAGCAGTAGTAGTGGGAGAATTTTGGAATTCACTCTGGAGTCAAATGCCTCCCAACTAAAGATAAAGTAAAATTATATTAATTTTGTTTTTTGATTACAGAAGCCATACATAGTCACTGTAGAACATTTTGGAATATAGAAAATATATTTACAAAAGAAGAAAAAGTCATTCAAAATTTAAGCACATTAAAAATAATCACTATTAACATTTTAATGTTTCCTTACTGTCTTTTTATATACATTTTTATGTATGTAGTAACAGGAATATTTGTGCATTTACATAGCATATATAAAATCTTACATATGTAGGCATCATATGTATATACAGTTTACATTTTTTAACATTAGATAATAAATATTTTCACCTATCATTAACTATTGTTCAACACCCTTTTATGATTTCATGATATTTTTTGGACATAAAGTAGTAATTCATTCAACCTTATCTTAATTGTTGGACATTTAGGTGGTTATAAATTCTTTTAATGTTATAAATTCCATCAAGCATAAAACTGATACAACTGCCCAGCCGGACGTGGCTCAGCGGTTGAGCATCGACCTAGGATCCAGGCGATTGGGGTTCGATTCCCAGTCAGGGCACATGCCTGGGTTGCGGGCCCGATCCCCAGTCGGGGGCGTGCAGGAGGCAGCCAGTCAATGACTCTCTCATCATTGATGTTTCTACCTCTCTCTCCCCCTCTCCTTTCCTCTCTCTGAAATCAATAAAGACATATTTAAAAAAAGAAAAACACTGATACAACTGAGGTACTACTGAGAGAGATGCACATTATAGTGATGTGTTAAGCGAATTAGACAGCAAGACCCAAACCAGAGAGACCCCTTAGGTAAAGATCAGGGGAGTAAAGGCAGAGTTCAGCCCTAGCCGTAAAAGCAGAAAGGAAGAGGTGGGTATGAAACTATTGTGCTAAAACCTTGGCAGACTTGGCAAACGATGGGCACTCATGACAGGAAACACTCCCGAGTTTAATTTATGTGATGGGGAAGATGAATGCCATAAACCGAAATCACCAGATTTGGAAGACAGGCTTGTTTGAGGGTAACGTTTAGCAGCTGAGTGTGAGCCGTTCACCGTGACGGTGATGGTAGGTCTGCTAAACTGGAGCTTTGATGGGCTCCAGGGCTTAGAGATGCAAGTGCTGGTCGTAATGGGTAAAGAATGAGGAATGGGAGCTCGGGTGCAGGGTTGTTGAGAGCCCGGGAGAAGAGAGCAGCAAGAACAAATTCGGCCCTGGCCGGCCCTCAGTGGACGGAAGGGCTTGATGCCGGCCGAGGGCAGTGCCTCGTTCGCCGCTCGATCCTGGTCGGGGCCCCTGCTGGAGGCAGCCGGCCCGTGTGTCTCTCACATCGATGTTTCTCTCCCCCCCCCCCCNNNNCCGTCCACTCTATCTGAAAAGCAATGGAAAAAATATCCTCAGGTGAGGGTTAAAAAAGTAGTAATAATAAAATAAAATAGCGCCCCCAAAAAGAATAAATTCCATGACCAGCCGGTGTTTCTGTCTTTTCTCTCTCCAAAACATCAATAAAAACCTATTTTTTTAATTAAAAAAAGAGTAAGTTCCACAATGCTAAGAGCCATAGGCATCTATGCCGAAGACAAGCTGCTTGTAACCTTAACAAAATAATTTTTCCCCACCGGTGACAGGACCCTAAGCCAGCAGTGCAGGCGTTTGGGAGTGAGTGGGTGGCAGCTGCGATGTTGAAAACGTGGTGGTGAAAGGAAGGAAGAATGGGGGTGCGCATCTGCAGCAGTCGGGGGCGGGAGGCGGGCAGCGGGTGCGGGTGCGGGCATGGGTGCGAGTGTGGGTGCGGCTGGGGGTGCGGGTGCAGCT